CACCATGTCCCCCCCCCCCCCCAGTATTTTCAACCAAGGTGGGATTTAAGGCCAGATCTTTGGAGAAAATAGAGATTCTTCCTTCAGATCTCTGTGTTCTGTGTTCCAAGGCAGAGTCCTATACAAGGACACTTGATGTGTGTGACACAATAGCTTTTTGGACCAGAAGAATGACTAAGCCCACAGAGCCAGTGGTCTTGCTGGTTGGAGGATTCTGGAAGTTATCATCCAAAACAATAACTTTTCCAAGTGCTGAACTTTTAGATCATTATACGTTGCTACCTTATTGAACCTTCAAGTAGGGTTACACCTTTGATTGACTGATTGATTGATTGATTGATTGATTGATTGATTGATTGATTGATTTATTTATTTATTTATTTATTTATTTATTTATTTATTTATTTATTTATTTATTTATTCTATGTGTATCCAGCCTGTCTGGTCATCGCGACCACTCTAGGCAGCTTACAGCAGCGCCCCGTTTAACGATGAAATCGCATCACAATGAACTTTTTGCGATTGCAAAAGCAATCGCTTTATGATGTTTTAAATGGGTTTTTTTTTCGCTTTGCGATGATCGGTTCCCTGCTTCGGGATCCGATTCTCGCAAAACGACGATTTTCAGCCAGCTGATCGGCGGTTTCAAAATGGCCGCCGGGAAAAAAAATGGCTCACTGCTCTTTTCTGGGATGGATTTTTCGCTGCATGGGCAGGGAAAATGGCCGTGCTATGGAGGATCTTTGCTGGATGGTGAGTTTCAATCCCATAGGAACGCATTAATCGGGTTTTAATGCATTTCTATGGGCTTTTTTATTTCGCATTACGACGTTTTCGTTCTACAGCGATTTCACTGGAACGAATTAACATTGTAATGAGAGGCACCACTGTAATGATACAGATTTTTGAGAAGGCTGTGGAACACACTTTTTGCGTTAGACAATTTTACTGCACTTTTGTTTTATGGTTTCTCTGAGGAAAAGAGTGCTGCCTAGGATTTAACTTGCATAAAGTCCTGCCACCAGCCTCTTAACACACACAAAGCAGACTCCAGAAGTCACATTTGGTTTCAGGAGATGTATTGGCTCCTTCAAAGGTATCAAATTACCCTTAAAAGCACTTTGAGTTATAAGCAAGTGAACAATTTGGGCAACCAGTGTTTTGACTAAAGTTGAAGTCTGAGTGCAGCACTTGGTTCTTTAGAAATTATGTGATCCTGTTTTAAGAGCCATTTTGTGCCAAAAATGTATCCCCATTTTGGTTTTCAAATGGCACCACAGGAGACTCATTTACATTGGAACTTACATTTTCTGTTTTAGTTCCAGCTTATGGTCTGTAACAGTAGAGAATGCTTACATTTTTATGTTTTGTTTTATTGTAAAGTGAGCTGGGTTCATTTGCAGAAAAAGAACTATTGAAATTCACTCTATATTATGTTGTATCATGGTCAATAGAGGAATCTGAAGCCTTTCTATCATTAATGAACTCTTTTCATGGCTCATTAATTTTGCTGATATGCAGGAACAACAGGTCATTTTGTGTAAGGCATCTTGAAAAAGTGGCATAGCATTTGTAATCTTTGAAGCTGCCTTCTCAATTCAGATGTGTAGCCAAAGTCAAAGGAAGTATTACTTAAAGCAGGAAAGAAGAACGGAAAGAAGTGTCTTTGTCCCCCAGATTTTAGCTACAGCTCCCACAATCCATTTCCATTGTTGGCTGGTACTGATGACAGTTGCAATGTGAATGTGAAGAATTCTTGCCGATGTGTCATTTATAGTTGACAGAGGTTGTCTCAGCATGGCAAGATGGCCTGTTGAGTTCTTGCATCCAGCACAAGAGGAAAACACCAAGCGTTGATGGAAGTGTCACACAGTGTCTCTAGAATCTTTTCCCTGTTCAAATGGAAAAAGAGAAGGCTAATAGCTCACAAACCAGCAAACGCTTCTACGTTTTAAAAGCCCACACAAAAGCAAGGCAGGAACTACAATTGTTTCAATATTTAAGAGCATAAAAACATAAGAAGAGCCCTGCTGGATCAGGCCAGGGGCCCATCTAGTCCAGATTCCTGTACCTCACAGTGGCCCCACCAGATGCCTCTGGGAGCACACGAGACAACTAGATACCTGTCTCCTGATACCTCTCCCCTTGCATCTGACATTTGGAGGTACCTTCCTTCTAAGTCTGGAGATTATACACCCCATCATGGTTTATAACTTGAGATGGACTTTTCTCCAGAAATCAGTCCAATCCCCTTTTAAAGGTATCTCAGCCAGATGCTGTCACCACGTCCTGTAGCAAGGGGTTCCACAGACCAACAACACGCTGGGTCAAGAAAGATTTTCTTTTGTCTTTTCTTACTCTCCCAACAGTCAATTGGAATTGATGTCCCATGGTTCTAGTATTACGTGAGAGGGAAAAGAAATTCCCTCTATCCACTGTATCCATCCCTTGCATAATTTTATATATCTCAGTCATGTGCTCCCTCAGGTGCTTTTTCTCTAGACTAAAGCCCCAAACGCCGAAGCCTTTCCTCATAAGGGAGGTGCCCCAACACAGTCCTTATTTTAGTCACTCTCCTCTGTACCTTTTCCAGTTCCACTATGTCTTTTTTGGAGGTGCAGCAACTAGAACTGTATGCAATGATCCAGGTACAGCCTTACCAGCGTTTTGTACAATGGCATTATAATGTTGGCTGTTCTATTTTCAATTCCCTTTTTAATGATACAATTTGTGTAATTGTGTGAAGACTCTATGACTAACAAGAACAAGCCTCTCTTGCTGCAAGGAGAATTTTTGGGGAGGGACTTTTTTTGTTTAGTATACAAGGACACACCAGTTCACTATCTACTTCCCCAGAGGATCCCAATCTTGTTCTTGGTTGTTACAACCTGGGACAAACGATTAAATCCCTCTACTCTTTCCTCATGGGTCCTGATCCAGATCTGGGCCCTTGTGCTTCTCTTGTGGAATACTATGTGTGAATGGGAGAGACAGAGCTGCTAGCTACATCTTTAAAGTCATGTGTAGTTTGACAGTATTATTGTCTTTGTAAGCATTAAGCTGATAAGCCAACCGTATTATGCTTATACTCTCTTGTCATGAACAAAAGCATGAAGGGATATGTCTTGCCCTCTTCCTTTGCATCACATGCTTCTAGTTCATTGTTTCATGGCACTGTTTATGTTCTCATTTCAGACAGATGCAGCTTTAATGTACGATGCTGTTCATGTGGTGTCAGTGGCTGTCCAGCAGTTCCCACAGATGACTGTCAGTTCATTACAGTGTAATCGGCACAAGCCATGGCGCTTTGGGACCCGCTTCATGAATCTCATTAAAGAGGTATATCGCTAATGAAATACATTCCACCTTTGTTGTTCAACTGTAGAAAGCCAGTCAAGATGACTATGTCCATTTGCAGACAATTTGCACTAGAATGTTAATGAAAACAAAAAACAGAAGCCTCAATAAGCCGAATATAAATAAATGTGAGATATTTTGTTAAGCAGCATCATTTCTGCTTTCGAGTGAATAATCATAATTAGGGATGGGCACAGATCGCCTGTTCATGGATTTGTGCTGGTTTGTTTAACAGCCGAACAGGTGTTTGGTGCTTCAAAGCCTCACTTCCTCTGGCAGGTGTCCACTCAGAGGCAACGTGTAGATTTCACTAATATCAAAGTAAAGTCAATAGTTCCACCCCACCCCGATTATGGGATTCTCAAGGGCTCCAGCATCTTTTTGTTTGAAGCCACATTCATGGAAGTATGGAAAGTCATTATGCAACCAGGCTTTGAGTTGTGCCAAGTAGTCCCTCTTCAACAGCTCCATTATTCTAGGACTCTACAGCATTGCCAAGAATGCTTCTCCTGTAGATATGCACATTACTTGTTGTGGGTACTGTTTTATTCAGAAACTCTGTTGTATGGCTTCCTGAGTCACATAGAACTCTCAACTAGAAGAGGAGTTTACTCAGATGCTGCCTTGTTACCAATGTTCACTCTGTAAGTGCAAAGGAGGAGGAGGAGGAGGACACTTGCTGTGGTTCCATCCCTGCTGGCTCATGAATTTCCATACATTCACTAAAGCCTGAAGGAGCCTCCGGAAATACAGGCTCAAGTCTAAGCTTGCAGAGTCACAGGGACATATTTAGCAATTGTCAATAGCAAAATTCTCAGTTCCATTTTGTAATTATAATACTCCCCTTGTTGTCAAAATATGGTGAGTACAAGGATAGGAATTACTCTTGGGATCCTGATCTGCAGGACACAAATAAAGAAAACCTCATGATTGATGTTTTTGTGTTGGGGGAATCCACTTTAATAAGGTCCACGGTGCAGCCTGTGTGCCTGCTCAGTTGCCTCCTTGGCCTATGGGCTGCCTCTTTGTCTGGTGGCTTCACAGGATGAGTGGTCTCCTGGCATAGAGTGGCTGCTTGGGTTGGGTGTGAGCCTCTGGCCCTGCTCTTTCTTCCCGAATCCTGTCAAAGGACAGGGGTGCCTTATCCTCCTTCCCTAGTTTGCTTCCTGCCCTGCTCACCTGTGCCTTCAGTACCAGGAAGGCAGGCGGGATCCCTCCTCCTCCGCTGCCTTGGGGCTGCCTCCAGGCTGCAGTAGCTTGCAAGGAAGCACAGCACAGCTCTCAACCCTGTCTGTCCCCACCCTGGCAGCTCAGCCCCTTCGCCTGCTGGGGGAGGTAGATTGTGGGTTATGGGGCTCACCTGGGCCACCTCTCCTGCAGGTGGCAGTCTCCAGCCCTGCCCTGCTCTCTCCTTTCCTCCCTGATCCTGGATCTTGATCCTAGGGCACCCTTCCCTCACATGTGGCTCAATCTTCTCCTCGGGTTGTCACTTGGACTTTCAATCTCAGGCAGGTGGCCAGAATTGTTCCTTCTCTGCTTCTTCCTTAGGGCCGCCTGCAGGTTACAGCACCTCATGAGGAAGCAGAGCCAGAAAGGGCAGCTGTCACCCCATCTATCCCCACCCCTCATGGCTCGGCCCCTTTGCCCATTATGGGAGATAGGTGGAGGAGTGTGGGGATGCCCCAGGCTACTACTTGGTAGCAACAGTGGTGTGGATGGGGCATGGGGACAGGAAAAAGGCAGCTCTGGGGTAGCCAGGCAAGGCAACGGGCAGCCTGGGAGACAGTCCAGCCTGCCTGCAAGCAAGCAGCCAGGGCAATGCCAGCACCACCAGCACCAGTCAAGACAGCCAGACTAGGCCAGAGCAATGCAGCCCCCAAGGAGACCACTGAGATTGGGACCACCAGGTGCTGCGGGGGAGCTGTGGTAGGGGGCGGCAACCTTGCTTTATGTTCCCTTCCCTTTCCCATAGCACCTCTTGGTGTTGGGATAGGGGAAGATCCAACATTCTAGCCATTGTGGGTTAGTATGCTTAATGTGCTTAAAGACCTCACCTGTCCCTTTTATTCAGTGAGCCTCTATAAAACGTTGCCTCTCACTCTCTCTCAAACCCACACTTCACTGGTGCAGACTGACGGAGCGAGGCAGAGACCGTACATGCTTGCCTAAGTTTGTGGGCATTGCCTGAGCTGCTGCCGCCCTACTTGTTTTTACTGTTTGGTATGTTTTGTTATGTAGCTTTAGTAGTTTTATTGTTTTCTTAGGATGTCCCGTTTACCTTTTCCTAAGAGAATTAGATAAAGATTATTACTTAACTATTGTCTCAGTGTCAATCTTTTTCCGACACTTGGTAGGTCCAGTGGCACACACTTTGAGAAACACTTTTTGCCGTCTTATTATAGTGTTCTCTATAATCTGTGATTTTCAACAGCCAAAGGGGGGGGCACTTGGAACCAATCCCCTGCAGATATAGGTGTCCTACTGTAGAGGGTGAACATCAAGTTTTAAAACATTTTAAAATACACCATCTAGGCCAGTTGTTCTTAACCTTTGTTACTCGGATATTCTTGAACTGCAACTCCCAGAAACCCCAGCCAGCACAGTTGGTGGTGCAAGGAGGTGTCCTACTGTAGAGGGTGAACATCAAATTTTAAAACATTGTAAAAAACACCATCTAGGCTCGCTTATTTTGAGAATGTGGAATACTTAATACCAGTGTCACCCAAGGTTAAGAACCAGTGATCTAGGCTCACTTATTTTGAGAATGTGGAATAATTAATACCAGTGTATCAATATAAGGGAGAACTCAGACCATCCTGACCTTGAACATTCCTTGCACCTGAGTTAATTAAAAGAACTTAGCTGATATAGTTGATGCCAGTTAAAATAAGCTAAATGATTGGTTGATTTGTGGTAGACCATCCTGACCTTGAATATTCCTTGCACCTGGAGCAGAGCTAATTAAAAGAACTTAGCTGATATAGTTGGCACCAGTTAAAAGAAGCTAAATGATTGGTTGATTTGTGGGCCTATGGTTGGTGGGATGATGGGATTTAAGAGAGATCTAAGAAGAACAAAAGACACTTCCCATCTGGATTCATATCATGGACTGGTCATCATGACTTAGTATGTTCTTGCTTTATGCTACTTGTTATGAAGAACTCTGTGCATGTTTGTGAGTATAACTTAGAGAGCTAGTTTTCATTATTTTCTGTGGAAACAGCTTTATCATGCTTAGAGCTCTGTACATGATGATGTTTTTTTGTAATTACTGCTGAAATTATTTGAACTTTTTTGCCATGCTTTGCTATTTTTTGCTTTTTAATAAAATAATAAAATTTTACCCAAACTGTGGTTTATTGAGACAGCTGCAAGGGGGTTGATACTAACCCAATGTCTGAGAATGCTCAGAGATTTTGAAGCATTTGGAGATTATTTTAAGTTTTTTGCTTGTGCTATTTTAAGGATTGGCTTACAACTGGGAGCAGCCAGGAGTAAGGGGCTCAGAGTGTGCTAGTGAAGGCATGGGCCTTAAGAAGCATTTCCCAATCATTAGTGCACAGACCTCCTGGACATAATGCATCCAGGCAGAGCAGGTAGTGTGACTGATCGGTGAGAGGAAACCCTCTGTGTAAACCATGAGTAAATAAATCCTCACAACAGGAGATAATGCAACATTATTAACAATCTGTCTTTTATCAGACTGAGCAAGACACATTATGTGTATATGGGCATGTGCTATGCATGTGGAAATGGAAAGCTATTAAGGAATTGTATGAGGAGATTAAGGAAAGTTGGTTTAATTATCAAAAGAATGCTGGAAATCCAAGAAGTGACTACATTTTTTTTATTGTCCAGAAGGAAAATGATTTAACATTAATGAATAATTAATATTTCCATTTTGGCAGACATTAATTTATTCATTCCCTCTCTGTCTCTCTTATTGCTTACACATGATCCCCCTCCTCTCTTTTCATAGGCTCATTGGGAAGGCCTCACTGGCAGGATTACTTTCAACAAAACCAATGGCTTAAGGACAGATTTTGACTTAGATGTGATTAGCCTTAAGGAGGAAGGTCTTGAAAAGGTACTGGCGATACTTCTGCCTGTTTATTTGGAACTGATACATGGTATTTAAAAATAATATGAGCAGTAGTTTTCTCCTTAGGAGTGGAACCAATATAGGTAATATTGATGTGTGAGAAAATATTGAGATCCATTTTAAGCAACCACTTTAGGGAAATTGTATGCATATCAGGGTTGGAATTAACACTGACTCATATCTGGTGCCTTGGCAGCCATACTTAATATGTAGTTTGTATTTAAAATTGCATTATTTGAGTGTCATTTCTGTTGGTCCTTAATTTTTGCCTAGATAAAAGGGATAGATTCAAATAACTATGTAACGGTGTTCACATCCAGAATAGAACCATCTCTTCCTTCCTTCCTTCCTTTGCTTCAAGGTGCTGTTGGCAGTTCGTAAAACAAATGTGTTCTTTAAAGGATCGTTCACCCATTGCCATATAATTAATACTTTTAGCAACTGACAGGAGTTCCAAACTGAGAGTAAAGCAGAACAGTCCGTTATTCATGGCTGATTTTCTTAAAAAAATTATCCCACTGGATGAAAGTGTGAAGGAGCTATTTGCATCTGAGTGAATGCATAGCATTGATCACAGATGGCTACCTATGGCCACTAATCACTTGGTGGTGTAGTGAGTAAAGAGCTGGACTATGAGTTTAGGCTACAACTGAAGAGCTGAACCAAGAAACTCATTGGGTGATCTCAGAGCAGTTATCTTTCTATGTCACCATGAGCTGATTGGAGGAAAGGCAAGAAACTAATGTAATCAATAAAAATAATAAAATGAGAAGTAATCACTCCTACCAGACAGTGGAGATAGATGATGGGAATACTGATTCATAAACGTTTGTGTGGGGGAGTCCCCCTCATAAATCAATGACAAAGTAGACATCAGGGCAAAACTAGCCATGAAGATGGCTGGTTTTTAGCATAGATTTATTCTAATCCTATAGAAGGAACAAGTTGTAAAACAATGTTAGGGACTGCTGAAATAACCTTTGTATGGGCTCTTCTTATCTCTGCTGCTACATGTCATATGGATCCTCATGTGATATATTCATCTGGAATGCAGAGTTTTTGCACTCACCTGCATTCAAGGTTGGTGTAGGCAGTGAAATTGCTCCAATTTTATGGAGGCAGTGAATCTGCTCCAGGTTTTTGTCTCTAATGAACAACAGCTACCCACAAAGAGTTTCAACACCTTAGATAGCTCAAATTTGAAAGTTCAGATTGAACCCTGGAGAGGATTAATTGCCCTTTCCTAAATGTGAATCTCCAGCCTCCACTGTTTGGAGTGATAACTATGGGCTTGTACATTCTCCACCTGATGAAGAAATGTGATAGGATGAGTCCTGCACTGCATGTTGATTGGTGGTTTGGGGCTTATTACTGTGTGATACTTACTACAGGCATCCATCAGATGATAAAGTTTCCATGCCTTCCAGTAAGTCCTGCCATAGCTGACAAGCTTAATAATGGGCAAAATATTAGTATTAGCTTTAAAGGTAACTTTACAAAATGTGAGTTGAATGTGCTAGGGGGCCACATTGTGCCAGCAATCCTATTCCCCTGCCCATAGTAAGTATCAGTGAAGGGAAAGAATTGTTGTTAAGAGACTAAAATAATGTGTCTTCCTTTGGTGTAAAACATTGATTCTAAGAAGTATTCTGGTGGTACAGAAGGATTCCTGGAATTGTGGTACCAGAGAGAGAGAGATAGTTACAATATAAAACTGAGAGATAAAAAATGCAGTCTGCCTAACGGTATATTGCAAGAACAAAATTATAATAGGTAGCTATCCATAGCTTTTCTGAATGTTACATCTAAATAGCCATTATTGTCATTTTATTAATCTTTACAAACTTTGCACACCCTTAATTTTGGAGACTGTAAAATGATGTAATTCTACACACACTTGTTAATTCAAATTGTTGGGGTTTAATCCTACTTATAACTCTTGAGTTTAGGAAATGGTATCACTGGACAATCTCAGCTTTTTATAGAAAAGCATGACAAATGGAAGTGCAAGATGCAGGACGCTAAATGCTCCATTCACATCTTGACAATATTATATATGTGTGCAGAAATAATTTGCTTTGCATATCTACAAAATGTTTTCCCCCCTTGACTCATCTCAGATTGATTAACAGTCTCAGTGGACAAAATGTTGATTTGGCATCTAGAAGCAGTGCTTCCTTGTGAGAAACCTATCTGTTTGATTTAACGAGAGGGCGTTGCTGTCTGCATTTCGTAAATTAGTTTGCTTTTCTTTTGCAGTTGGTTAGGTAGGAGGCAAAATTACCTTGTTTCCAGATTTGATTTCTCAAGCATATAGCTCTGGAATATTTGTATGTCTAGACAAATAATGCTGTGAAGAAGAGAAGATAAGCATTTGCCTTAATACATGTTCACACCCTAAGTATCTTCCCATGCATGTACCAAACCGATAGGATAAGTCTGCAGAAGGGGAACATGCTTTGTGGTCTCCTTGCAGTCACACCCGTGGCTTCCTTAGCTTTAGAGACTTGGAAGGAGCTAATGGTGAATTTCTTCTTACAGTGCTGTAAAGCATTATATTGGACAAAATTTCAAATCCAAGTCTGAACAAAAACAAAGGTTTTGGGGAAAGTATTATAGTGTCCTATTCTAAAGAGAGAAAATGTAATAGCAACATTAGGATTGAGGACAAATAGTTTGAGCCTTCTGTTCTTGCACAAGGAAGGAGCAAACCATATTGCATCACCTTGTCTATTATTACTTAGCAGCATTGTACCAGCACTGTGGTAGCTTCTGGTTGAGACCTAGTTGGGTGCATACAGCTGTCTTTGCCACTATTTATTTATTTAAAATATTTTTGTTACACCTTTCCCCAGGGCCTTAAAATAGTTAAAAACACAGTATTAAAAGCTAAACAAACTATTCAAATATTAAAGAAAACCTAATAACATGATGTTAAAAATGCCTAGGTAAAAGCATTGCAAAAATAGATTTAGAAGAGAAATGGGCACTTATTGTGGTTTGGGGATTCAGGCCCATAGAAGTTGTGTGGGCATCCTGGATTCCGTTCCCTGGCTTCTCTAGTGGATACTTACTCAGAGGAGGAGGTGAGGCTGGGAAGCCCAGGGTGCTGTTTCTGACAGGGTACCTGCGGGAGGAGTTGGGGCACCCACCCAACATCTGTGGGCCAGATCCTCCAAACCATGGTAAGTAGCCATCTCTAGGGTACCTGCGGGAGGAGTTGGGGCACCCAACCAACATCTGTGGGCCAGATCTCCAAACCGTGGTAAGTAGCCATCTCTAATTTATAAGCAACAAAATATAAAATTATTTATTGTCTCCTAGACAGTCAATCAGTAAGGAAAAGCTTGCCTGAAGAGTATGGTCTTCACCTGCTTGTGGAAGGACAGTAAAGATGTGGCCAGCCTGGTTTCCTGTGGCAGGGAGTTCCAGAGTCTGGTAGCAGTGTCAGAGAAGGTCCTCTCCTATGTCCCCACCAAGCACACCAGTGAGGGTGGTGGGACTGAGAGAAAGGCTCCCCTGGTGATCTTAACACCTGGACAGACTCATAGGGAGAAACATTTTTGAGATAGTTTGGACTCCAGCCATTTAGGTTTTTATAGGTTAAAATCAACTCTTTGAACTGCACCTAGAACCAGATTGGCAGCCCCAGTTAACAACCTGGCTGTAGCATTTTGGACCCACTGTAGTTTCTAAAATGCTGGAGCCAGATTGTTAAATGGTACTGATCACATAACTTCGCTGTTATAGCAGCTCCACTTGCTGACAATCTGATTCTAGGCACAGTTCAAAAAACTGTTTTTCTCTGTCACTAGGTAAAATGAGGCAGCCATCTTGTGGAGCAGATGCAACTGAACAGATGAATGGTGGTACCATCTACCATTCTACTTTCTCAGCTATTCTGCTACTTTCATCAGAATGCAGTCTTATATCTAGTGTTGATTTGGCTGCCATTCTAATCAGCTGTCCCTATTGAATAGGATGGAGCACTATCTTGTGTTTACCTCCAGACACCAGTATAGCTTGAGTCGGTTGTAGGCAAAGAAGAAGAAGATCAGAGAGACCATGAGTTTTTTAAACATGAGTATATATTCCCACAGCACCCTGTGAGTGAGGAACAAATAAGATTTTACTGAACAATAAATCAAGTAACTAACATATAAAGAAGATCTCAGTGAATGTTTGTAGAAGAATCATGAAATAAAAGAACACCTCTGTTGGATAGTTCTAGGACAAGATAGATGTGAAATACCTGCTAAACAAGCATGATCAATAGGAGATCAAAATAAAGGAATGAAAGGAATACAACAAGATGTAAAATATGAGTTTCAGTAAATCATTTTAATCATGTTTCACAAACATTCACTTGGAAAGGTAATGCAAATTGGTTTCAATAGGAAAGCTGTCATGTAGATTGAACATTACCTACAAACCCATTTACTAAATGTAATGGAAACTGCAATCTGTGAATATATGGGGCAGAGGCAGTGGATTGAAAAATTCTGTGTTTAGAAGCTGTATTGAATTAGAAAATGGAGAACACGTAAATTCACTTGCCATTAATATATTGGAAACTGGGCAAAATATAGTAAATATAAAACCATTTATATCTTGAGATGAAATGAGCCAGAACTGTAGAAATGTTTGGTTTTACTACATATGTTTTTGTTAGCTTCTTCTTCTTCTTCTTCTTCTTCTTCTTCTTCTTCTTCTTCTTCTTCTTCTTCTTCTTCTTCTTCTTCTTCTTCTTCTTCTTCTTCTTCTTCAATATATTCTCAATATTATTTCATATTATTTTTTTCAAAAGAATGGATTGTTACTTTGGTGTTGGGACCACTGAAAACAAAAGCCAGCCATTTTGTTTTCAGCGGCTCAGATTCAAATTCTACTTATTATTAATCCGTGAAATTTATGGAGGTGTCCTTGGCTCAATCATTCTGTCTTAGTCTGAGCTACTTCACAGGATTGTGGTGATGATAGTGATT